CAGCACGCGGCGCGCAGGGCAGCGCAAACGCGCAGCGCAGTGGCAGCGCGCGGCATGCAGGGGAGCGCGAAGGCACGGGGCATGGCAGGGTCGAGCTTGCGGTGGGCTGGCGCAGTAGAGCCGCGCGCTGGCTGGCGCGTCCGCATGGCGGGTTCCCTGACGTGCCCGCTGACGCGCTGGCGCGTTCGCTGGCGCGCTAGCGAGCCGCTGGCGATGTCGCTGACAGTCGCGCTGGCGAGCTGGTGGGCACGACAGGGCAGCAGGGGAAGCGTGACTAGGCACGCCATGACCGATCGCGAGGTTGGTGGGCCCATTGAAAAAAAAGACAGGTCTATGGAGGGACCATTCCCTAATATCATGTTAAAGACTAAGGATACCGTATCACCCCGGATATAAGCGCACATGCGCTTATAATAAAACGGTGTTTTTTAGGGGGTGCGCTTATAAAATTACAAATACAAATATATAATTTTAAAGCACCAAATTGTACATCTCATCCCTGCGATTTCAATCGAATCAAAATTGTTAAGGGTCACAGGTCAGAATCGCGCGGGGGCGATTCTCTGCTGGTGCACAGAGGCAAAGTACAGTGTAACACCTCACTTTGAGGGCGTGCCAGTTCGTGCTGACTGGACGCGCAGGATGCGAGGTCCTCGAAAGTCAACCTAAGCGAAAATGGTTGTGACTGTCAGAATAACTAGGCAAGAATGAGTGCATTGAATGAAACAGTTGGGTACAAGTAGCAAACCCTAGTTGGGAATGTACCCCATATTGGCTACCCCACTACAGCCTACCAACATATAACACATTACAATTTAACACACCCCCATAGGCAAAGTGGGGGAGAACAAAGGGTCACAAGACCAGTCCAGCAAAGCAACGCAAGCCCAGGGTGGATCACAACGTCACCACACTCCGAGCACAAGCAAAGGCCACAAGGCCAGTTCACATGCAGTGCTAGATATAGTACAACACAAGCAACACAGTGATCAAAACCTAGCAAGCAAGCAACAAGATATATATAAAGTACAGTACAAAGAATGTCAAGCAGTGAGCAAGTGAGGAAACGTGGACACAAGGCCTAAAGAAGTACAGTGCCGCTGATGATCACTAGGCGGGAGCGCCTTGGTGAAGATATCAGCAGTGTTGGCCTTCGAGTCCACGTACACAAGCCGAAGCTGACCGCGCTGCTGAAGCTCTCGAGCAAGAAAGTAGCGAAGAGCAATGTGCTTCGTCCTGTGCTCCAGTCTGTGCTCCTCACACAAGGCAAGAGCCGCCTTGTTGTCACCGTACAGAACTGGAGGAGAACTAGGCCGCTCTCCCAAGTCAGTCAGCAGGTAGGTGAGCCAGCGTAACTCCTGTGCAGCCATGGCTGTGGCGTAGATCTCAGCCTCACAACTAGAGCCGAGAACAGAGGAAGAGCGGGTGGACCGCCACGAGACAGAACCAGAGCCAAGGCTGAAGGTGTAACCCTGTGACGACCGCTGCGTAGCCAGGTCGTCCACCCAAGAAGCGTCCGAGTGACCAGTGAGGACAACTCTGTCGTGTCCTCCAAGCACCAGCCCCATGCCTGATGTACTGCACAAGTAACGCAGCACCCTCTTAGCAGCCTCCCAGTGCTCTCGCCTGTGTCTCCCAGGTGCAACGTAACGAGCAAGGATGCTAAGAGGGTACGCGAGGTCAGGTCGCGTGCAAGTCATCAGGTACATGAGGCAGCCTACAAGCTCTGGGTACGGGCCACTCGGCTCTACGGACTCGTCCGAAGGTGGAGCTGAGAGCGAGTGGCTGGTAGCCAGAGGTGTGGCCTGTGGTGAGGAGAACTGGAAGCCGAAGCGCTGAAGGACCTGCTGCACCATGTGTGACTGAGTCAGGGTGATGGTGCGGCGAGCTCTGTCCCGGGTGATCTGCAAGCCAAGGTAGCTACGCAGTTCACCCAGGTCAGTGCAGGTGTGTCTCTTCTGCAGCTCCGACTTCACACGAGCGAGTGCCTCAGTGTCAGCAGTAGCAAAGACCAAGTCGTCGACGTACACGAGAATGTAGAACGGCGGCAGCGACATGTCTGTGCGCAGAAACAGCGACGGGTCAGCAGTAGACGGCGCGAACCCAAGAGCCGCAAGTGTAGTCCTCAGTGTGTCGTGCCACTCACGTGGCGCCTGGCGGAGATCGTAGACTGGCCGGCGGAGGCTCCACTGGGTACCAGGAGGAAACGACCCAGTAAAGCCAGGTGGGCGGCGCAGCCAGATCTCCTCGTGCAGGCTGCCCTGCAGGAACGCTGTGCTGAAGTCAAGAGAGTGAAGCTCGTAGTCACGCTGAGCAGCAACGTGCAGCAGAACCCGAAGAGTGGTCATCTTCGGGGTGGGGGAGAAGGTCTGGAAGAAGTCGACCCCCTGACGCTGACTGAAGCCTCTAGCAACGTAACGAGCCTTGAAGACAGGCGGAGAACCTGGCGGCCGCTTCACCCTGAAAATCCACATGCCATCGACGATGTTCGCCCCAGGAGGGGGAACCTCGTCGACGTAGGTGCCTGTGGACTTCCAGGATGCCATCTCTGCGTCCATGGCTGTCTGCCACTAAGAGGAGTAAGGACCCGAGATCGCCTCTGCGTAAGTGCGCGGAGTGGGGATGTCTAGTGCATCCGGGTCTCCCTCAGGGGCAAGCAACCAGGCCACGAGATGAGGTACAGCAGCCGCGAGAGAGTCAAAGTCCTCCTGCCTGTCCTCAAGGACGTCCGTGCCAAGAGCACACTCACCCCCGACGGACGGAGGACAGACAGACGCAGACGCAGACTCAGCAACAAGACTAGCAGCGTAGTCTAGACGACAGGCAGCAGCAAAGTCAACCAACTCAGCGACTAGAGCAGACGCAGCCGAGGACTCAAAGGTAGGGTCAGTGACAACAGTAGCTAGGAGACGCGTGACAGTAGGGTGCTCAGCACGATACCGGTCAGACTCAGGGTCCGGAACGTCAGGCAAAGAGGACGCAGGAGGAGACGGTAGAGGGACACGCTGAGGAGCAGTAGAGGGACGCAGAGTCATGTAGTGAGTGCCTGGGACAGGAGGAGGACGCTCACGACGGACACGACGACCAGTGCGAGCAGTGCGAACAGGCGACGCAGGACGAGACTCAGGCTCACGACGCTCTGTAAGACCTCCTGTGGGACCAGTGTAAGGAGAGGGAGCAGGGAGAGGTGAGGTAGGCGGTAACTGTGACTGTGGCTGGACAGGCGGGAGACACCCTACGGAGGGAGGAGGACAAGGAGGAGGAGCCTGCCCAAGAACCTGCTGAAGGAGCGGTACGAAGTACGGCCGCGGCCGCGCAGCAGCTCCTGAAGCAGAAGAGACTCCAGCGGCCGGGTCCGCAGTACCAGCAGGAGCTCCAACGTCCGGGTCCCCAGCACCAGCAGCAGCGCCACCGCTCGGGTCCTCAGCTCCAGCAGCTCCAGCAGCAGCTCCACCAGGTGGGTCCGCAGCACCAGCAGCAGCACCACCCCCAGGGTCCGCAGCACCGCTAGGAAGAGCACCCCCAGAGTCGGCAGCTCCAACTCCACTAGTACCGCCAGCTCCAGAGTCCCCAGCTCCAGCAGCTCCAGTCGTAGTGCTCCCAGAACGACCAGTCCCGGCAGCTCCAGTACCCCCAGTACGAGCACCCCCAGGACGAGCAGCTCCAGCACCCCCAACTCCAGCCGAGCCACTAGGACGGCGAAAGCGCCTGACGTACCAGTCACGAAGCTGCTGCGGTGTGAGAGACTGCTCAGCACCCCGAACCGGAGCACCCCCAGACACAGCAACCCGAGGCTCCGTAGGCTCAGTAGCAGCACCCCCAGGCTCAGTACCCGCAGGCGCAGCACCCCCAGACCCAGCACCCCCAGACTCCGCACACGCAGGCTCAGCACCCCCAGTCGCAGCACCCCCAGGCTCAGCACCCCCAGGCGCCGAACTCTCAGGCACAGTACCCTCAGCTCCAGCACCCGCAGTCCCAGCACTCCCAGGCCCAGCACCCGCAGGCTCAGCACCCCCAGGCTCAGCACTCCCAGCAGCACCACCTGCAGCAGCACCTGAGTCACCTGTGACCTCGACAGGCTCAGCGACGGGAGGAGGGTCGACCTGAGAAACACCTGAAGGAGCAGGACCCTGAGGGGGAAGGGGGTCTACCGGAGGGGGACCAGGAGCAAGGAAAAGCGGCGGGGGAGGGAGGGGGGCAGTGCGGTAGGGGAAGAGACGGTAAAAAGGGACCGACTCGTCAAAGGTGACGTCCTGAGAGGCGAAGACCCGGCGCGAGGTGGGGTGGTAAAACTGCCAGCCCGGCGCGTCAGGGACAAAGCCAAGGAAGACACAGGGAAGTGTGCGGGAGGAGAGCTTGTCCGCGGACGTATCGCGGACAAGGGCACGAGCACCCCACACCCGGAAGCGCGACGCATCGCCAACCTCCCCCGTCCAATGCAGTGTGGGCGAGGTCTCCGGCAAGGAGACACGGGGCCAGAGGTTGAGCTGATGCGCGGCGTACCGGACAGCAAACGGCCACAGAAAATGGGGAGCCGCCGCGTGAACCAAGGAGGTACGAGCGACCTCCATGACCAGGCCAATGCGGCGCTCAGCAACCCCATTCTGCTGTGGGGAGTCCGGAAGCGTGAAGGTCTGCTCGATGCCCTCCGCCTGACAGAAGGTCCTCAAGAGATCGGAGGAAAACTCACCACCTCTGTCAGAGTGCAGACGCAGGACAGGAAGTGTCGAGAGAATTAGGCAAAAAGAGAGGGTTGAACTAGCAAGAATGGGGATACAAATAGCAAACCCTAGAAGGGTTGTACTCGCTACAGAGCACCCCACTGCAGGCTAGACAAATATAACATTCTGACAGGAATGTCCGTCCGGAAACGGCGGCGGAGCTGGAGACGAACTGTGCGGATCCAAGGGATCAGAACAGCAGGGACCTCACCCTTGGTGCGCAAGGGGAAGACCGTGGTGTAACGCGAGTAGTCGTCAACAACCAGCAAAAAGTACCGCTCACCGCCCTGGCCACGAACGCGGGCTGGGCCCCACACGTCCAGGTGGAGGGTCTGCAGAGGAGCCTCTGTCGGGGGGAACGAGGAGGAGTGAGGAGCGGCGCGCTGCCGCCCCTCGACGCAAGGAAGGCAAGGCGGCGCAGGCGAGGCAGGGAGGGGAGGGAGGGACCTGGGAAGACCAGACACAAGGTGGCGACGGTGCATGCCATGGAGGCGTGGCAAGGAGGGGTGACCCAGGCGGTGGTGCCAGAGAAGAGTCTGGTGCGACAGGGAACGACACTCACAGGCGTGGGCCACCAGACCTGACGCGGACACCTGACCGACAGCAGCGACCTGAGGAGACGCAGTGGTCAGTGTGTAGAGACTCGACCCTGGTCGACGGGTGAACGTAGCCAGGTGACGGCCGGTCCTGGAGCACGTGCAGATCGCCACACGCTGTCCTCCAGGGGTAAAGGTGTCAACCCACTGATCCTGGATGACAGCGTTGCTCACCAGGTTCGTCGAGAACGAGGGGAGGTGGAAACCCGACAACGAGCCAGACGGAACCGCCGGACAAGGGAGCACAGTGGTGGACTGGGCAAGGACTGGGCCCCCAGAGGGGTCAGCCAAGGAGACTGGGACCGGTGCAGGAAGCGGTGTGAGCTCAGTACTGTCACGAAAGAAACAGCGGGAAGCACCTGAGTCAAGGGTGAAGGTGTGACAGGCCTCAGCCGGTGCGGTACCTGAGAGAGCAGTCTCTGTGGGTGCTGTACCTGAGAGAGCAGACTCGCAAACAGCGGGGACAGCACTGGAGGGAGCAGGTACAGGGGGCACCATACCAGAGAGAGCAGACTCACTAGTGGCCAGGGCAGCGGGCTCTATACCTGGGTCAGGCGGCACACACAAGTAACAGTCTCCCTCGGCACTAACAGTCAATGCATACATGGCAGCAATAATAGCATCATAGTCAAGAGCAAAGATATCAACACCAGCCCTCATCAGCTCAGGCAAGGGGGGGCGCTCAACATCCTCGCCCATCTCCTCACGCCAAGCGTCGTCAAGGCGGGAGAAGCAGCGGTACTGGGTGTGGAACCTCCCACACGTCTGCCCCTTGCGGTCACCTGTGCGAATGACATAGGAACAGCGGCCACTGCCCCCCGACGTCCCACGCTGAGCAAGCCACTCACGAAGCTGCTGGGTCGTCTGGGGACGCTGCTGCTGCTGGGAGCTCTGGCCCGAGCCAGTGCCTCCACTCCGACCTCCGCCGCCACCACTACCACCGCTCCGACCGCCACCGCCGCCGCCACCGCCACTGCCGCCGCCGCCGCCACCGCCGCCGCCGCCACCACCGCCACCGCTCCCTCCGCCGCCCCCGCCTCCACCGCCGACCCCACTCCCACCAGCGCTCCCGCCACCGCTCCCTCCAGCACCGCCTCCCCCCCCACCTCCCCCACCTCCTCCCCCCCCAGCGCCACCCCCGCCACCCTTGCCCCCCTTGCCCTTGCCGGTGCGGCGCCTCCCACCAGGAGCAGAAGCAGCGCCAGCAGACTCAGCACCAAGGAAGTCAACAGCAGCAGCAGTAGCGTAGGAGGGAGCGAGGGGAGAGGGAGAACACCCCTCAAAGATGGGGGTGCGAGGAGCGCCACGAGCAGCACCGACAGCGACAATGCTCTTTTCGGCCGCTAGCAGGTGCTCCTCTAGGAGGGCGACTGTGAGCTCAGTGGGACAGCGAGCAAGGAAGTGGTCTCGAACTGAGCTGAGGGTGTCAGGGAGACGGGTGACTATGAAGTGGAGTGTCCAGTACAGTGGAGGGGGATTCTTAGCGCAGAACTCAGTGGGAAGGGCGGCACGCAGGCGGGCATCACTAGTGCGAAGGTGGGTGATAAGATCGGCAACTGTAGCAAAGGTGGACAGCTCAGGGAACAGGTACGGCAGCATGAGGCGGCTAAGCTCGGCTGTGGCAGGCGAGGAGTAGCGAGCAACGACAGCATCGTACAGGGCCTTAGCGGATTTGCAGTCGCCAAAATGCTCGAGCTCAGCTAGCGGCAGGTGACTGCGAATGGCTAGGCGAGCAGCTGCGTCACGAGTCTGCCAGTGGGAACGAACACTAAGCTCAGCTGTGGCAGGAGGGGCAGGTGCAGCACCAGACGCGTAATCATAGAGCGACACATGCTCCTTGCTATCGCTCAGAAGGAACAGCTGCAGGTCATCCAGCCAAGTGGCGAACTTCACAGGGCGGCCCTCAGTATCGAACGACAGCACGCGGATGGAAGCCATAGCGACAGTGCGACTGAGCAAAGGAAGCTGCCGCAGCGCTGCAGGTAGGTAGCTCGGCGGGAAGCGCGGCGGGCGGGCGACGCGGCGAGCGGGCAGTGCGGGGGGCGGGCTGCGAAGCGGGCAGCGCGGTGCTGCAGGCGGGAAGTGCGGCGGGCGGGCTGCGAAGCGGGCAGCGGGGCGGGCGGGCGACGCTGCGAGCAGGCAGCGCGGCGGGCGGGCTGCGAAGCGGGCAGCGGGCGGGCGGGCGACGCTGCAAGCGGGCAGCGGGCGGGCGGGCGACGCTGCAGCGAGCAGCGATGCGGGCGGGCGACGCTGCGAAGCGGGCAGCGGGCGGGCGGGCGACGCTGCAAGCGGGCAGCGGGCGGGCGGGCGACGCTGCGAGCGGGCAGCGAGGCGGGCGGGCGACGCTGCGAGCGGGCAGCGAGCGAGCGGGCGACGCTGCGAAGCGGGCAGCGAGCGGGCGGGCGGGCTGCGAAGCGGGCAGCGGGCGGGCGGGCGACGCTGCAAGCGGGCAGCGAGGCGGGCGGGCGACGCCGCGAACGGGTAGCGCGGCGGGCGGGCGACGCTGCGAAGCGGGCAGCGGGCGGGCGGGCGTCGCCGCAAGTGGGCAGCGGGCGGGCGGGCGATGTTGCAAGCGGGCAGCGGGCGGGCGGGCGACGCTGCGAGCAGGCGGCTCGGCGGGCGGGCTGCGAAACGGGCAGCGCGGTAGGCGGGCGACGCTGCGAGCGGGCGGCTCGGCGGGCGGGCGACGCTGCGAGGGCGCTCGAGGGCGCTAGCGAGAGGCGCACGAGGGCGCTAGCGAGGGCGCGCGAGGGCGCTAACGAGAGGCGCGCGAGGGCGCTAACGAGGGCGCGCGAGGGCGCTAACGAGGACGCACGAGGGCGCTAACGAGGCTAGGGCACGGGGTAGCGTAGAAGCCGCATGCGAGCGGTGGTGGGCCCTAAAAAAAAACGGTCGGTAGGTCCTAGGGACCTCCTGCTCTGAATACCATGTCAGAATAACTAGGCAAGAATGAGTGCATTGAATGAAACAGTTGGGTACAAGTAGCAAACCCTAGTTGGGAATGTACCCCATATTGGCTACCCCACTACAGCCTACCAACATATAACACATTACAATTTAACAGTGACCTCGCTGCAATTTTGAAATTCGTTACCGATTATATCAAGATAAAAAAAAAATACACATGCGTATATAATATATCAGGGTTTTACAAAGGGTGTGCTTATAATTGAGGATCGCCCATAAGCGCATTGCTCCATATATAAGCGCATCCATTTTTAGGCCTGCGCTTATATTCGGGGTCATACGGTAGTAGTGCCTAGGGTTTTGGGTGGCAACTATCGAGAGTAGGAAAAGGTGCACTAGAATGGGCAAGGGCCCAAGAAGTACAAACGAGAAACAAGGCAATGAAGGTACACCACCAAACAGGGGGTTCCACTACACTACACTATACTACTCTAGGCAGTTTATATGTGAAACAAATACATACACATATTTGTTTCTGACGAATACACACTGCACCAACGACGATGACAACCTTTAGTTGCATACACGATGCATTGGAACACCTTGCCTTAAACACACTCATCTCACAAACACGAAATGCAAACGTAACAAAAAGAGTTGTGACGACATCAAAATGGATTCTTCATATGCACCAATGCTACACCTGAGATTGATGGGGTCGTTGAGACATTGAAAGCACAATGCGCCAACGACGATGACAACCTCAGCTGCAAACACGATGCATACCAGCACCACACCCTGAAATAATCACAACCAACTGACACGCACAAACACACACCCACGCAAAAACACATGCACACATGCACACACATACACACACATGCACAGACACACACATATATACACACACATACATACAGTGAGGAGAGAGAGCAAACAATCATAACAAAGCGTCGCAAAAAGGCTGAATACGTAACAATCACTACTACCCTGCTCCCCCTTCCTATACCTTTCCCCCTTCCCTCTTTATCCCCACGCTTTTCCACATCTTTCTCCCGTGCCTTCCTTTTTCTGCTCCCCACAACGCGGCTAGCACATCCTGCAAAACACACAGGTCACGCAAAAATATATTGCTGTGAGTGAATTCAGTGAATAATGTAAAGAGCCAACGCACTACAACAAGGCGCCAGCGCGCTTCAGCAAGACGCAAGCGCAGTGCATTAGAAATAGTAACGCATGACGGAACATGTTCAAAATGATGCATTAGATTGATGCAATGCGCCATGAACACCACCTCAGCCTGCACGAAATGCATCACCTAAAAGAAAGAGAGAAGAAACGATAATGGTACAAAAACACACCTAGCGTAGAGTATAAAGTTGTTTACCGATTTATACTCTACCCAAAGCACACACACAAATTGGTAACAAAACGTGTCCCACAAGCAAACCCTTGCCCATGTTTCACGTCGCGTCGCACACGCAACCACCTCATCTTCGTCGAACGGCCCCCAAGTCCGAAAAACGGAAGCTTGTTAAACACGCCTCAGTTGACCCACACATTTCTCCCCGTCAAACACTCTCTTCCCCTTCTAGTCATTTCTCCCCCGTCACTTCTCCTTCACTCCCGTTTCTTCCTCATATTCCCCTCCTTTCCCTATGACGTAGCACACACGCATAGTAGCTTAGATACTTCTTTTCAGAATAGCTAGGCAAGAATGATTGAACTAGCAGAAGTTTGGGTACAAATATGAAACCCTAGTTGGGGTTGTACCCCATATTGGCTACCCCACTACAGCCTACAAGCATAATACAGTTTAACACACCCCCATAGGCAAAGTGGGGGAGAACAAAGGGTCACAAGACCAGTCCAGCAAAGCAAAGCAAAGCCCAGGGTGGATCACAACGTCACCACACTCCGAGCACAAGTAAAGGCCACAAGGCCAGTTCACATGCAGTGCTAGATATAGTACAAGACAAGTAACACAGTGATCAAAACCTAGCAAGCAAGCAACAAGATATATATAAAGTACAGTACAAAGAATGTCAAGCAGTGAGCAAGTGAGGAAACGTGGACACAAGGCCTAAAGAAGTACAGTGCCGCTGATGATCACTAGGCGGGAGCGCCTTGGTGAAGATATCAGCAGTGTTGGCCTTCGAGTCCACGTACACAAGCCGAAGCTGACCGCGCTGCTGAAGCTCTCGAGCAAGAAAGTAGCGAAGAGCAATGTGCTTCGTCCTGTGCTCCAGTCTGTGCTCCTGACACAAGGCAAGAGCCGCCTTGTTGTCACCGTACAGAACTGGAGGAGAACTAGGCCGCTCTCCCAAGTCAGTCAGCAGGTAGGTGAGCCAGCGTAACTCCTGTGCAGCCATGGCTGTGGCGTAGATCTCAGCCTCACAACTAGAGCCGAGAACAGAGGAAGAGCGGGTGGACCGCCACGAGACAGAACCAGAGCCAAGGCTGAAGGTGTAACCCTGTGACGACCGCTGCGTAGCCAGGTCGTCCACCCAAGAAGCGTCCGAGTGACCAGTGAGGACAACTCTGTCACGTCCTCCAAGCACCAGCCCCATGCCTGATGTACTGCACAGGTAACGCAGCACCCTCTTAGCAGCCTCCCAGTGCTCTCGCCTGTGTCTCCCAGGCGCAACGTAACGAGCAAGGATGCTAAGAGGGTACGCGAGGTCAGGTCGCGTGCAAGTCATCAGGTACATGAGGCAGCCTACAAGCTCTGGGTACGGGCCACTCGGCTCTACGGACTCGTCCGAAGGTGGAGCTGAGAGCGAGTGGCTGGTAGCCAGAGGTGTGGCCTGTGGTGAGGAGAACTGGAAGCCGAAGCGCTGAAGGACCTGCTGCACCATGTGTGACTGAGTCAGGGTGATGGTGCGGCGAGCTCTGTCCCGGGTGATCTGCAAGCCAAGGTAGCTACGCAGTTCACCCAGGTCAGTGCAGGTGTGTCTCTTCTGCAGCTCCGACTTCACACGAGCGAGTGCCTCAGTGTCAGCAGTAGCAAAGACCAAGTCGTCGACGTACACGAGGATGTAGAACGGCGGCAGCGACGTGTCTGTGCGCAGAAACAGCGACGGGTCAGCAGTAGACGGCGCGAACCCAAGAGCCGCAAGTGTAGTCCTCAGTGTGTCGTGCCACTCACGTGGCGCCTGGCGGAGACCGTAGACTGGCCGGCGGAGACTCCACTGGGTACCAAGGGGAAACGACCCAGTAAAGCCAGGTGGGCGGCGCAGCCAGATCTCCTCGTGCAGGCTGCCCTGCAGGAACGCTGTGCTGAAGTCAAGAGAGTGAAGCTCGTAGTCACGCTGAGCAGCAACGTGCAGCAGAACCCGAAGAGTGGTCATCTTCGGGGTGGGGGAGAAGGTCTGGAAGAAGTCGACCCCCTGACGCTGACTGAAGCCTCTAGCAACGTAACGAGCCTTGAAGACAGGCGGAGAACCTGGCGGCCGCTTCACCCTGAAAATCCACATGCCATCGACGATGTTCGCCCCAGGAGGGGGAACCTCGTCGACGTAGGTGCCTGTGGACTTCCAGGATGCCATCTCTGCGTCCATGGCTGTCTGCCACTGAGAGGAGTAGGGACCCGAGATCGCCTCTGCGTAAGTGCGCGGAGTGGGGATGTCTAGTGCATCCGGGTCTCCCTCAGGGGCAAGCAACCAGGCCACGAGATGAGGTACAGCAGCCGC